TCGAGAAGAAAAAATAAACGAAAAAAAAATAGCAAAAAAAAATTCCTTTGAGGATATAGGTATTCAACAACAAACACACTGAGTGAGATCCAACGTCCAGGGAGATCTCCATAATACCTGAAAATTCAGCTTCTTTAAAGCATCTTTCCTTCGCCAGTCTCCCTTTGAATACCTATAGGAGTAATGCTGACTTATACTTTTGGCTCCAAAAAACCAACTTCTTCCACGCCGTGACCTCGGTCGCAATTTCGATTTTTTCCTCTCAGTCGGGCCTGCAGGAACGCCAGGAGGGCACCGCAGAGCCCAGGCCGCCGCGGCGGTGGGAGCCGGACGCCCCTCCCCTCACTCGCCGGCGCGGCCCCGGCCCCCCGACACCCCGGGCCTGCGCGCACACACTTACGTGGCTCAGCTGGGGCGGGGTGCCCGGGAAACGGGGCGCCGCGCGACGCTCGCCAGACCCTCCCGCCGCGAGAGAACCCGAAAGCGTCGCTCCAGCTACCGCGCTCACGCCGGGACCCGCCACACAGAGGAATGAACGGTCTTCCGGGTCTGGGCGGAAGTGTTCCCAGGGAGACAGGAAGTCCCGCCTCCCGGCCCGGCTCCATGCGCGCTCTAGAGCACCACCTCTCAGGAGGAGAGGGAACAGCGCACTGCATTGAAAATACTAAAACCCTATGGAGCCTCAATCCTGGATACTAAGATGAGTGGAGTTCGAATCCCACCTCTGCTTCATAGACTTCCTCTGTCTGTCTGCCTTTCTCCCTTTCCCTCCCTCCCTCCCTCCCTCCCTTCCTTCCTTCCAGATTTGTTTATTTGAAAGGCAGAGTTACAGAGAGAGAGGAAGAGAGAAAGGTCTTCTATCTTCAGGGTCACTCCCCGTTGGTTGCAATGGCTGTGATGGCGCCAGGCCAAAACCAGGAGCTTCTTCCGGGTCTCCCATGTGGGTTCAGAGGCCCAAGGACTTGGGCCATCTTCTGCTGCCTTCCCAGGTGCATTAGCAGGGAGCTGGATGGGAAGAGGAGCAGCCGGGGTTTGAACCTGTGCCCATAGGGGGAAGGTGGCATGGAAAGCAGAGGTTTTACCTGCTAGGCCACAGCGCCAGCCCATGGGCTCCCTGTGTCCCAGGGTTAGTCCATCAGCTCAGCAAACACGAGCACCTACTACGCACCGGGCCCCGTCTGGGTCAGTAGGTGTCCTGCCGATTGCCCTTAAATCCTCGTCTGAGTGCCCCGGGAGTACCTGAGGCTTTCCCAGGGCCGGTCGGGCAGGGACGGCCTCAGGCAGCCGTACTCACACTGCAGGGCGGCAGCTGGGGTGCACTTCAGTACAGTTGGTGGCTGGGTCTGGTAACCTTGCCCGTGGGTTCCCAGGTGCCGTGGGGCCTTGCTTGGACAATCACCATCAGTCACAAGTCTGAGCCCATCACCCTCCCCTGTGGGTCTCCGCCCCAGCGTGCATCAGGCTCACCTGGAGGCCTTGTTGGGTGGCTGGCCGGCTGCCCCCCGAGTTTCTCATCCATTGGGTCTGGTGCCTTTCCAACAGATCCAGGTGACGATGATGATGGTGCCGGCCCAGGGACTACACCTACGGAAACACTGCTTTGAACAATCGATTCCCAGGTTCTCAAAAGCCCTCAGAAAATGTGTCTTGTGAAAAAACTATGCATGGATTTGTGTGTGTGTGTGGACAAATTATTTTGCTTTTATGTTGAAGTTATTCCTACGCATTTTTTATACTATTTTATTTTCAGATTTATTAGTTCACTCCCCCAAATGGCCGCAACGGACACGGATGGGCCAGACTGAGGCCAGGAACTTCTTCGGGTCTCCCACATGGGCTCAGGGACCCAAGCGCTTGGGCCACCTTCCACTGCTTTCCCGGCCATAGCAGAGAGCTATGGGCACCGGGTTCAAGTCCCAGCTGCCCCACTTCTGATCCAGCTCCCAGCTAATGCGCCTGGGGAAGCAGTGGAGGATGGTGCAAGTGCTTGGCCCCTGCACCCACGTGGGAGACCCGAAGAAGCTCCAGGCTCCTGTGGCCACTTGGGGACTGAACCAGTGGGTGGAAGATTCTCTCTCTCTACCTTTCAAATAAAATAAATCTTAAAAAAATAAAAAAGTGGGTTCTACATGTTGTCGGGGGCAGCTCAGGAGTTAAGGGCTGCGAGGGGCTGTGGGTTTGCAGGTAGGTGCCCAGGGGCAGGCGTTGGGGCGGGAAGCTGGGCCCAAAGCCCCCCGATGCTGTTGCCTGGTCTGAGTCTCCAAGCCCACCGGAGACTAGAGAAGACGCTGGTGGGAGCCGCGGTCCCCGCTAAGCCTCCCAGGCCGGCTCGCCCACGTCGCAGGCGTAGCAGGTGCCGGTTCTGCTTGTCGGCCCAGGAAGCCCGGCCTTCCCATTGGCCAGTCGCCCTACCGCCCCCAGCTCTGCGGCCAGGTCTTATTGGCCAGCGGCGCGGCGGGGCGGAGGCTCGCGGCGAGGCGCGCGCGTGCTGCCCACGTGGGCGCATGTGAAAGAGCGCCGGCTGCCCCAGAACCGGCGTGGAGCGCGGCCATGGCGTCGCTGGCCAGCTCGGCCCCTGGCGCCGATGATGGCGGCCGCAGGAAGCCCCGCCTGGCGGCCTCCTTGCAGATCAGCCCTGGGACCAACCCCTGGCGCCCTCTGGCCAGCGTGGGCCGGGACGCCTGGGAGCCCGCGCCTGTCCCGGGCGCGGAGGAAGACCCGGAGGGGCGCAGGAAGGCGCAGGCCTCGGTGGTGGGGGACGGCGGGCCCGCCAGCGCGGTGACCGGATTCGGGAAGGCCCGGGCCCGGGAGGAGGTGGGTGGACAGGGAGGGCAAGCCCCGAGGGTCGCGGATCCCGCCAGCGACTTCCCGACGTCCCCCGGACAGCTGAGCCTGCCGCTCAAAGATCCGCCCCCGGATCAGGCCGTGTCCCTGCTGACCCAGTACGCCGAGGGCCTGGGCGTCTCCCTCGTCTTCCGGGAGGACCACAGGGCAGGTGAGCGGCCGGGGGTGGGCTGGAGGATGGCTCGCTGGCCCCGCGTGCAGTGGACAGAGGAGCCGTGAGCCAGACCCGGGTGTTGGGCCTTTGGCGGCCCCCGTTAGACCCGCCCTGTGTGAGGCCCGCACCGGGTGCACCGCAGTCTTTGCAGGTTTTCCAGGGGCCACTTGCGCCATTACAGTTGCCATAGGAGCCGTGGGTGCGGGGCTTCGGCATCGTGGCGCAGAGCACTGTGCACACGGCCACTGCGTACGTCCCCTGCCAGGCCCGCAAGTGACTGTGGGGCCTAACTCCTTACGGTTGGACACTTATAGATGACCGCTCACTGGCTGAATCCTGCCAGTTGGACATTGGTTAAGTACCGTCGCTTCCTTGCCACTTGGAGTCACAAGTTGCCGGGTGTTGCAGTCACGCGCCGTCAGTGGACGTGGTCTGCCTGGCTGTCGCACGGCTGGTTCCTCATCCGTGCAAGATCCTGGCCAGGTTGAGGTGTGGCCGTGGTGGCTACCGCGTGGTGCCGGCATGCCTTCTGCTCCTGGGTGCACCCGCTGGCCCTGCTGCCCTCTGGAGCTCACAGATCTCAGGGCAGAAATCGGGGGCCCCGTCCCCCGACTGAGCACTGTGACCCCGCAGCCCAGCTCGAGAGGTTTGTGTCGTCGTTCTTTGACAGCTGCTTGTTTTGTTGCAACAGCACCTGCAGTGGGAGTGTTTGGTAGAAAAGTCTTCCCGACACGGGTAAGGAGGAGGAGGGCCACCCGTCAGCCTCTCCGCACCTCCTCCGTGAAGTGGAGCCGCCCATGGCTGCTTGGTTTGGCCAAGAGCTCGGTCGCTGTAGCTGGGGCGCAGCGCTCAGCCCTGGCATCGAGGAGGACGGTCAGGCCTCGCTGCCCCTCTGGCTGACCGCGGAGTCCACGGGGCACCTCCAGGCTGAGCCGGGCGTCTGCTCCCCCTCCCTCCCCAGGCGCGTGCTTCCCTTTCTCCGCGCACGTGGAGCTGGATGGGGTGGTGTGCCCGGCAGGCACGGCGAGCACCGACACGGAGGCCCAGCAGCAGGCGGCGCTCTTGGCCCTTGGCTACATCCGGAGCCGGCTGGAGAGCCCAGGTCAGCAGGGCCCGGCCCCGAGGCCCGGGGTGTGCAGGCCGCGTGGGGAGGCTGCAGTGGCTCTGGCGTGTGCACACGTGTGCGTGCGTGCGTGTCCCTGGAGATGGCGTCTGGGTGCTGGGGAGGGACATGTGCGCTGACACCCCTCCCTCCCCCTGCCCACCGCCCTGCCCACCGCCCTGCCCACCGTCCTGGGGGCAGGAGCAGCGGAAGCAGATCTTCCTGTCTGCAAGGTGGAAGCATCACCCCCCACCCCTGGGTTCCCAAAGGCTGGGAACGCAGCCCCCAGCCCGGGGCCGCAGCGGGCGCTCTCGCCTCCCTTGCAGACCCCCAGCGGACCCCCAGCAAGCCTCCCCTGTCCACCCTGAGTGCAGGTAGGTGGCTCCAGGGGGCCTAGACCCCCACGTCCAGGGGAGAGGCGTGGCCCGGGGTCCCCACCTCCGCCGTGTCCCCTCGCACAGAGAACATCCTGACACATGATCAGCGCTGTGCGGCTGTGGTCAGCGCCGGCTTCGACCGCCTGCTGGACGAAAACTCGCCGTACTGGGCCTGCAAGGGGACTGTGGCCGCGGTCATCCTGGAAAGGGGTAGGGACCGCCACGTTCCCCCTTCTCCTTGGAGGGACACCTCGGGCCCCCGGCGCGGGCTGAGCCGTCTCTGCCCTCCCTGCACAGAGATCCCGGGTGCCAAGGGCCACACCAAGGAGATCTACCAGCTGGTGGCCCTGGGCACGGGCGACAGCAGCTGTGGCAGCCGGCTGGAGTTCTCGGGCCGGCAGCTACACGACTGCCACGGCCTGGTCGTGGCCCGCCGGGCCCTGCTGAGGTGAGGAGCGGGTGGGGCCGGCCCTCGGACTAGCCCGGCCAGGACGTGGTCCCAACCGCCTCGCTGCCTGGCTCTCGCAGGTTCTTCTTCCGGCAGCTCCTGCTGGCCACGCAGGGGGGCCCCAAGGGCCAGGAGCGGTCGGTGCTGGCCCCCCAGCCGGGGCCCGGGCCCCCCTTCGCCCTCAAGCCCCGCATCTTCCTGCACCTCTACGTCAGCAACACGCCCAAAGGAGCGGCCCACGACGTCTAGTGCGTGTGTGCGGCTCCCCGGGCGGGGGCTCCCAGGGCATGGAGAGGGACGGAGGGACGGAGCTGAGTGCTTGTCCCCGCCCTCTGCTCCCCCTGCAGCCTCCCGCTGACCTTGGAAGGTGGCCTGCTGCACAGTCCAGCCTTCTGCCTGCAGGCTCACGTGCACGGGCAGCTGAAGCCAGTGTGCTACCTGGCCCCCGCGCTCCGCGACACCCACGTGGGCTGCCTCTCGGCCAGCGACAAGCTGGCGCGCTGGGCCGTGCTGGGGCTGGGCGGTGCCCTGCTGGGCCACTTCCTGCCGCCCCTCTATGCCACCAGCCTCGTCCTGGGTGAGCGGCCGGGGTGGAGGGCGTGCTGGAGGTGGAACGCGGCGGGTGCTGGGAGATTCACCCCCGGCTCCGTGCCTCTGTCCTCAGCTGACCCCTGCCACGACCCGCCCACCGTGAGCAGGGCTGTGCACACGCGGCCCAGCCTGGACAGCGCCTTGGGGCCGTGCCTGCCGCCTCCCTACGTTCGCACCACCCTTCACCTGTTTTCAGGGCCCCCCGTGGCCCCCTCCAACTCCGTCTCCAACACCTGCCACAACCTGAGCCTCAACTGGAGCCTGGGGGACCCTGACGTGGAGGTCGTGGATGCGACCACGGGGCGCGTGAAGGCAGAGTGAGCATGCGCCACAGCCCCCCCCCCCCCCCCCGCCGTCCAGCCCAGCTCGGGAGCAGTGTCACAGCACGCAGGGCCGGCCTTGCCCTTCCCTCCCTCCTCTCACCGCCCCGTCCCTTCTCCCTTCTCCCCGCGCAGTGGCAGTCTCGGGCCGCCGTCCCGCCTCTGCAAGGCGGCCTTCCTCCGGGCCTTCCGCCAGGTGGCCCGCACGCTGGGCAAGACCCACCTGCTGGCGCTGAAGACCTACGAGGCTGCCAAGGTCGGTTCTTGCCCTCCAGCCTCTCCTCCCAGCAAGTCCCCCCTCCCCGCCCCATGCCCTCCCACCCCTCGAGCCCGCTCCGTCTCCTCCCCTAGGCTGGGCCCTACCAGGAGGCTCGCCAGCAGCTGTCTCTGCTCCTGGACCAGCAGGGCCTGGGCGCCTGGCCCTCAAAACCGCTCGTGGGCAAATTCAGGAACTAAGCAGATGTGGGGCTGAGGCCCAGCTCCCAGGGGGACCCCGCGGGACAGTGCCGCTTGGGAAGGGGCTGCAGGGGTGGGGTGGGATGGGGTGGGGCAGGCGGGAGGGGCTGTGTGGATGACTGGGGTGGGGGTGGGGGTGGGGCCCTGCTGCCCTTGTGCTTGAAAATAAAGATGCCGTTGCCGGCTGCGTGTCCTGCGTGTCTGTGTGTCTCCCCAGAAGCACCCTGTGTCCGTGCGTCCTGCACGGGGCTCTCAGCTGAGTGGCCCGGCTGCCTTCGCTTCCAGGGCCCAGCCCTGGGGGCCGCAGCGGGCAATTTGCGGGTACCTTGGGGGCCAGAGGCGGCAGAGGTCTGGGCAGCCCTGTGCTGAGGGCACAGGGTGGGCGTGGCCATCTGTAGCCCTCTCTGGTCCCGCCGGTTAGCTGTGGGAGGGGACAGTGCCCTCTGCTGGGCGGCAGGCTCTGTGCTTCTGCCTCCCTTTCCTCCAGGGCGGCCTGCAGGAGTGCACGCCCCCACAGAGCTGGCAGCTCGCACACTGGGCGCTGGGCTGTGCAGCAGGAGGACCCCAGCCCACGCCCCAGCTCCCCTGCGTCCCCATGGGCCTTGGGGGCTGCAAGGGACCGTGTGGAGCTGGGTTTCCATGTGACCTGCCGAGCCCCGATGCTGCGGTGTGCTGTGTGGTGTCTGTGGCACCGTGAGATGGCCGTCATGGCGTGGGCAGGTGCAGCATGGAACAGAGGAGGCTGGAGCTGGGACGCTCGTCTTCGGCTCCCGGACACCTTGGCCCTCAGCTCGGGCTGCGCCCACGCTGCCAGCTCCCTGCAGATGGAAGACTGGGGCTCACACCATGCCCCCCCCCCCCCGTAGTCTCACGAGCCCCTCCCCCAGCTCTTGGCGCAGACCCGCGCGTGATCTGCAGAGCGTCGTCCAGGTCCTGGCCCGCTGCGGAAGCCCCGAGCCCCCTGCCCTCTCTCCAGCCTTTCTCTCTGCCTCTGGGTGTGTGGCTGTGGCCACCCCAGAGACACAGGACGGTCTGACAGTCTGTTCCTGCCCGCCTGCCTGCTGGGGCCCGGGCTTCCCTCCTGTCCCAGGGGCCTGTGCGTCCTCCCTTCCCCGTGCACTGCCCGTGACCCCATGCGCGTTGCTGAGACTGCCCGGTCTCCCGAGACGCCGGTTTCCTGGCTCCGCGGGTGCCGGGCTCTGTCAGCTCAGCCCGTTTATCATCGCAGGGCGATGGCCGACGCTGCTCCCGGGGCAGCGCTGTTCGCGGCCTCCTGGCTCGGCCCCTCCGGCCGAGGCTCTGCCAGCGGCGGCACGGTGCACCCCGGCAGTGACGTGAGCTGGGCTGGCACAGCGAGGGGCTTCCCTTCGCCCGCCCCCCCTCCTGCAGCCCAGGCTCCGGGCGTCTCGGCTCTGTCCCGCGCTGACCCCAAGTGCCACTTTCAGTCCCCGAGCAGGGAGCCCCGGACGGGGCAGGGCCTGGGAGCCAGCGGCCCCTGCTGCCTTGTGGGCCTCAGTCTCCCGGCTGGTCCCCGGGGTGCAGCCTGCAGGTAGGAGACACGGCCCAGCCCTGTAGCTGGCTCCTGGCCTCTCGGGAGTGGCTGTCCTCAGGCCCACTCCCGGCAGCCCCAGAGAGGGCGACGTCATCCATTTCTCTCCGCCTACCCTGGGCACAAGGTGCCTCAGGAGCACTGGATGGAGCAGGCACGTTAGCAGGAAGCAGGCTCAGAAGTGGAGCCGCTGGGACTCGAGCCAGCGCTCATACGGGGTCCCGGTGTGGCAGGTGGCGGCTTAGCCCATCGCACCACGACGCCAGCCCCGTGAGAGCTTGTTTCCTCACAACCCAGGTCTCTACAGCAGCCAGGCACGCCCGGGCCGTGTCGGTCCTGCTGCTCGCTCACGGCCTCGTCCCTGGGGCTGATATGTGGCTGGCTCGCTGTGGGCGCCTGGCAAGACGTCGAGCCAGGGTCCCTGTGTGCCGGGCCCTGAACTCCATCCGGTCTCCCACGTGGGGCGGGGGCCCGAGCATTGGGCCGTCTTCCGCTGCCTTCCCAGGGGCGTTAGCGGGGAGCTGGGTGGGACGCGGAGCAGCCAGGACCCTCGCCAGCCCTCTGACGGGAGGGCAGCATTGCAGGCAGAGGCTTAGCCCACCGCGCCACTGCACGAGCATCAAGAGGACCGTCCTTGCAGTGGGAGCACTCCCACGGGGCCCGCCTGCCGCCAGCGCTCCCGGAAGGCAGGGAGATGCGGAGACGGGAGCACGGACTGGGGCTGGAGTCCTGACTCCTCGCGGACAGCCGGGCGACCTGCAGCCCAGCTTGCCCCCCCGTAAATGGGGAGCAGAGTGGAGCCCCCAGAAGGCTGGGTGAGGATAAAGGGACGCGCGGGAAGCCATGGGGCCGGCTGGGCACGCGGCCAGCGTCTGACTGACGCGGTGATGGCGCCCAGACTGCTGCCCGTGTCCCTGTCTTCGGGAAGAGGGCCCTCATTTTCCTCTGGGAGACTTCTTCACGCTCCCCATTCTGACATCTGTGGCTCTGCTGAGGTCAAGGTTACCTTCTGCTCAGTTCGTAGCGACTGCTCAGTTGAGCTGCAGTGATTGGTTCAAGGACATGTCAGTAGGCGGGCCAGAGCCACCGATCCCACATGCTTGGGATTCTGGGAGAAAGAAGCTTTCTCAGCGGGCTTGGTGGGATGAGGGTGTCAGTTTTGGAGCTCGTGCAGCCATTTTGTGTGTGTGAGGAGACCAGAGGGGTGAGCTGATGCACCCAGGCAGGAAGAGGGAAGAGGCAGTGGCTCTGAGCTGGTGTGTGGGACGTTGGTGGAACGGCCGGATGAAGCCACACCCAAACTCCATCCGGATTTTCTGTTACAAAAGCCAGTAGCTCTTTTGTTTGCTCAGCCCTGTGTTGAATGAAGTCTAATCTGAATGGCTTCTTGTTCTTGGAGACAAGTCACTGTGCGAATATTCTAGAAGGTGTCGAGGGCTGCAGCCCCTGGAACGCTGACGCGGGAGTCTGGCAGTGCAGTTAAACCCTGGCCTTCCCCTGCCTACGCTGGTCCCCGGGGGCTTCAGCTCCAGTTGCCGGTGGTTGGCGGCCCTTCCCCGGTCTCCTGCGGCTGCTCTGCGGCTCTGTGAGAGATGGCCAGAGCTTTCTGAAGTGGGGACGGCGAGGGGACAGTGCGCGCCCCTGCTGAAGGCTGAGCCACAGAAGGTTCCGGCAGACGCGGGAGCACGGCTGGCCAGCACCCGCCAACCCTCAAGCTCTTGGCTGAGACGTCTGCCCAGCCAGCGAGCCCCTGCGGAAACTCCCCCCCGGAGACCTGCGCTCGCCTCGCGGGACGCGACGCGCCAAGGTCGACAAGTGGCCATCAGGTAAGACACCTGCGCTCCTACCCTCGCCCCAGGCCCGCTCCTGGGGACCCCGGGGCTGGGAGCCCCAGGCGGTGCCTCCTGGGAGCCTGCCCAGATCCCGCAACTCCCCGGCTGCAGCTCCTCCATCACTGCCCGGCTCTCTGCCTGCTCCTCCTCTTCAGGGCTTTCTTGGCCCACCTGAGCTCTGCCTTCCCACCCCGCCCGCTCCGTCCAGGCCCCGCCCCTCCCCCCCGTGACCTCGTGCTAACTACTTGGGAGATAGCGCCCCAGGACCCGGCCCCTCACCTCTGCACCTGCCCCACGTCCCCAGGGTCAGCTCCAGGACACCAGAGAAGCCACAGCACCAGCTCTTGGTATTGTTTAATGTTTGCTTCAGTGCTGCTGGGGCGGAGGGCGGAGGGCGGGGGGCGGAGGGCGGAGGGCGGAGGGCGGAGGGCAGAGGGCAGAGGGCGGGCCCCGGGGGCAGAGTTGGGAAGGGGCGAGCTGAAAGGGGTGGGGCAGGCGCTCAGGATGGTCATGGGCCAAGTACGGTGGAGCCTCTGGAGGAAGCAAGACTGGACAGCAATCGCCCGGGGTTGCCTGTCCCACAGAGCCCGGGGGTGGGTCACGAGAGCCACGCGGATGCTGAGTGCCTGACTCCCGCTCTCCCCGTGCCTTCCAAAGCTGGTGGGCTGGGCCGGGCTGGGCCTGCGTTTGTAGAGGGCCACCTCACAGCCCCTGGCTGTGAGTCGCTGAGGGAGCCACCAGCCCGGTCAGTGACCCTCTGTCTCATTCCTCAGGACAGCGGATTCCGGGGTTAGATGTCCAAGGCTGGGTACAGGCGGGCGCCGGGCAGGGACCCCTGGGCCCAGAGTGGAGGGCACTGCGCTGACCACAGAGCCTGGGATTCAGATCCAGGTTTGCCAAAGTACATCCTCTCCACGGGCCTTCACGTCCACACCTGAGAAATGGGCACGCTGGACCTGGCAGCCTTTTCCATGCCGAGGTGGCCAGGGCTGGGCCAGGACCCAGGCGGTGGCCCTGCTCTGGGCCTTGGGGACTGGCTGGCATGCAGGAGGGACTGGGCTGGCCAGCATGCCCGGCCCGCGGGCGCCCTGTGTCTGGACGTGGCTGGCCTGCGTTTGCATCTGAACGTCGGTAGCCCAGGTCGGCCTGCCCCAGTCCCCGTCCCTGCCTGGCAGGTGTGACATGGAGGAGGCTGGGGGTGGTGAGCCCCCCGTGGGGGGGGGGGGCAGGACCTGAGGGCAGGGACGGCGCTCAGCGATGCTGGGCTAGTTTTGTCAGAGGAGCAGCTCTCTGGCCAGAAGAGGGGTCACGCCCCGTCCGTGTCCTGGCGAACGTCGTGGCTGCCTGGCAGTTCTGCCTCCTGAACTCACCCGGAGGGACCTCAGCACCTGCTCGTCCAGCCCCGCCGTGGGACACACGAGAAGAGGAAGCGCCAAGGAACCGGATCTCACGTCCCCCACTCCGCCACGTGCCTGGGCCCCCCGGGACAAGCTGCCTCCACTGGGGACGGCACGGCCAGGGGTTGTCATCTTCTTGTCTTGAGATTTTTTGGTGCCCCTGGAAGGTGTGTCCTGCTGGCACTCAGAACACAAGGCTCGAAGCAGCCGAGCTCACCGTGTGGCCTTGGGCAGGTGGCCCGTCCTCTCTCAGCCGGTCGCCCCGCCTTCCACCGAGGCGCTGATTTACATTAGGGCTCCCATGAGCACCTGTGGGACTCCCCGGACACATGGGCATCCCCTCCGATGGCACTGATGCTCCCCAGCTACACACAAGACCCCGCACGGTCTTCTCGGGAGACTTCCAGCTGCCACGCTGTAACGTCCTTTACAAAAGCCACGGCAGTAGTCTTTGTGTTCCCGGGACAGACCGGGGTGAGGCTCCACCTGTGACCCTCATTCCACCGAGGGACCAGCTCAGCCCTCCCCAGCTCAGTTCCTGGTCCTGCTCCATCTGGCCGGAGACACAGGCCGACATGTCAGTGACCTCCGGGAGCCCTGAGCCTGGCGGGAAGCGCAGCCCAGTTGTCCACTTTGGCTGCAGTCCTGGCCCCTGGCCTCAGAGACAGCAGCCCCTCCGTTCAGCCAATGGGGATAGAGAAACTGCCTAGCAACATGCGCATCACTCCCACCCCATCCAATCAGCATGAAGGAAAAGCGCTGGCTCACAGCGTGCCTGGGAGAAGAGACAAACCAGAGTATTTAACGAGACCCACAGGTGAGTGTCCAGTCCCTGTTTCCCACGCCTGACTTCCAGGGAATTCCAGCTGGGCACCTACTGAGACCTACTGTCGCGTCAGTGCTGGGTTCACCCAGTCTCGGTTTGAACTTTGCTCAGAGCCGCGGCTCCCATCTGTGGCAACAGCACCGAGGGCGGAGCTGTGCACACGGGAGGCGAGGTCTCGGGTCAGACGCAAGGGGGCGACGTGGGCCCCAGGAGCCGCCTAGGATTCCCTGCCCGTTGCGGCTCAGGGGGCTGTGGACTGGCCCCGGTAAGGGAGAGGGTTCTAGAAATTTCCATGTTCTTCTCCGTGTCATCAGTTGCCAAGGCTGCACCGCAGGCTGCACGGCCGACCTGCTGGGCTGGGCTCCTGCACTCACAGCCCCTGTGGGGGTCTTGTGGACCCCCGTCAGAAAGCTATGGATGTCGCCCAATCCCTACAGATGGCAGAGAGGGAAAGGGTCGGCCCAGGGTCGCCCAGGGGCAACCTGGGCCCCAGCAGAGCCCTGCTAAGAGAATAAGTGACGTGCTTTGATTGTTTCTAGTGCTTTGCCTAAGAGTAGTCATCTTTACAGATGTTATTTGTGTATTTGAGAGGTAAAGTTACGGACAGTGAGAGGGAGAGACGGAGAGGTCTTCCATCCGCTGGTTCACCCCCCGAATGGCCCCAATGGCCGGAGCTGCGCTGATCCAAAGTCAGGAGCCAGGAACTTCTTCCACGTCTCCCAGGTGGGTGCAGGAGCCCAAGGACTTGGACCATTGTCCACTGCTTTCCCAGGCCATAGCAGAGAGCTGGAACGGAAGTGGAGCAGCCTGGACTCCAATGGGCGCCCGTATGGGATGGCGGTGCTGCAGGCGGGGATTAACCTACTGTGCCACAGCGCCGGCCCCGAGTAGTCATCTTTAAAAGATGAGTCTTCGAGTGGGTGCTGTGGCATGGAGCCGCGACGTGCGATGCCTGCGTCCCGTGCGGGAGTGCCTGGTTTGAGCCGCAGCCACTCGGCGCTTCCGGGGCAGCTTCCTGCTAGTGCCCCTGGGGGGCAGCAGGTGCAGGCTCAGGTACTTGGGTCCTGGCCACCATGTGGGAGACCTGACTCAGTGCCTGGCTCCTGGCTTTGGCCTGCCTGTTGTGGGCGCCTGGGCAGTGAACCTGCACAAGGGAACGTCTCTCTCTCTCTCTCTCTCTCTCTCTCTCTCTCTCTCTGTCTCTCACGCTGCCTTTATGACTTTGCCTTTCAAATAAATAACTAACTAAACCCTGTTTTAAAATAATTTGAAGCGAAGGACTCACAGGTTTTGTTCAAGGGGCCGGGGACACAGTTTCCACCAGCCGCTCTGAGCTTCTGCGGGTCACGGCCGAGAGCGGAGGGGCTCATCCAGGGAGGGCGGGGCTGTAACGGGTGCAGGGGCTTCCCTGGACTACTGTGCCATCATGCAAAGGTGTACATGGTGGGACGGCCTGGGGGATGCCCTGCCGAGTCTCGGGGTCTACAGGAATGGGGACAGGTGCCCACATCGGTCAGGAGGGCACCTGGAGGAGGCGAAAGAACGGAGCCAGGTCCAGGCCCAGGTGACCAGGAGCCGGCTGCTGCTGGCGCAGGTGCTCCCTGGGGCCTGAGTCCACGGCTGCCATGCTGGTCCTCTCACGTCCCTTCCGCCTGCCCTCAGGGTCCACCTGTGCCCCAGCCCCCTCAGCTCCATCCTCCACAGTGCACTCAGGGCCCGCCCCTTCCGCATCCCAGCCGTCTTTCCAGCTTTGCCTCCCCAGACGCCCCCCACCCTCAGCTCCACCCGTGCCTCGGGAGCCAGCGGCTTGGAGTCCATTGCTTGTTTGCTCTCTGGGCTCAGCAGGTGCTGCGTTAGCTCCAGGGGTCCGACCCTGCCGCCTCCTCCGCTGGACACAAAGTGCTGACTGTGTGAGCAAACGGACAGATGAATCGATGCACGTACACACAGCTGCGAGTGCTTATCTTCTGGCATCAGGGGCCCCGGTCTGTGGAGCCTGCGACGGGCGGACGCTGCGGCCACCCTCGCTTCTGCACCGGAGCCGGGTCCTGGTGCCTTCGCCGAGCTTGGCAAGCCGGGTGTCTCGCAGTACTGGAAAACCAGCTTCAGGAGTGGCTCGCTGGGGGACAGTGCAGCGCCCTGAGAGACGTGACACCTGTCAGGGCGCAGGGCTACGTGATTGGTCCACCCAGAGTTGGCCAGCCAAGGAGGGGCTGCTGTGCCGGCTGGTGGCGCTGCTACCCGGGTCCCAGGCGCGTCACAGGGAGGGGACGGCAGCTCGCGGCCACCTTGCAACACGGGATCTACAGTAGGGCTGTGAGAGGTGCGGGGAGGCAGCTGGTCGCTGGGCCGGCCGTGGGCGGGTCGCAGGGAGAGCGGATCCAAGGACTCCACATTGGCAGGCTGATGCGGGACAGGAAAGACGATCTTGGGGGAAGGACGGAGTCTGTGGTCGTGGTGTCCACGTGGAAGGCGGCCAGTCCCCGCGTGGGCCGGGAGGGACTCTGCAGGGGCGGGAGAGCGGATGCACAGCCCGCCCCGGGCCGTGAGCCGACTGATTCGAGGGTGCGCGGGAGAGAGAAGCAAGGGGGCGGGGCGAGGTCGGCCTGGATCATCGGACCGAGAGACCCAACGCCTGTGGCCTTTGAGGGGGTTTCCTGCGGGGGTGGGGGTAGGGGCAGGATCTCGAGCTGGCTTCGGCCAAGAACCACCTCGCGGGGTCTGCGTCAGGCGTAGGCACCGGGCGAGGCCGGGCCCTCCGGGACCTGGTCGTCGACGTCGTCCAGCAGCGGGCGCTCGCTGGCCGCGCTGCAGTTCTGCAGGCGGCGGAGGCGGGCCTGGAGCCGCTCCTGCTCCTTCTTGAGCTCCAGGTAGGAGTGGGAGAAGGTGTGGAAGATGGACGTGGCCGGGAAGGCCATGATGAGGATCCCGCTGAGGATGCTGCTCAGGGCCACCACCTGGCCCGGCACGCTGCGCGGCACCATGTCCCCGTAGCCCACCGTTGTCATGGAGATGATGGCCCACCAGTAGGAGGCGGGGATGCTGGTGAACTCCAGGACCCGGCCGGCCTCGTTCTCCGCCACGTAGACCAAGGGCGCAAAGAGGGTGACGGCCACGCCCAGGAAGAGGAGCAGCAGCCCGAACTCCCGCGTGCAGCGGCGCACGGTGAGGCCGAGCGTCTGCAGCCCCAGCGAGTGGCGGGCCAGGCGCATCACGTAGAGGATGCGCAGCGCCCGCAGCACACGCAGCACCAGCCCCACCTTCTCCAGGTAGGAGCCGCCGCCGCCGCCGCCGGGCCTCTCGCCGTGCTCCGGGGGCTCCTCGGACACGGCGAGCGACACGTAGTACGGGGAGATGGCCAGCATGTCGATGATGTTCAGGGGCCCCTGGAAGAACTGGCACTTGTCCCGGGCCTGGACGAAGCGCAGGCAGAACTCCAGGGAGAACCAGGCCACGCAGACAGTCTCCACGACGAAGATGGAGTAGCACTTCGGAGAGCACTCGCCCTGGCGACAAGAGGACACGGTGGGCACTGGGAGCGGGGCGCCACTGCCTGCCCCACAGCGGACCCGGGAGTCCTCTCGCCCCTCGGCACGGGGGCGGGGGAGCTCCAGGTCCCCCCGTGGAACCTACGTTCCCCGGGCAGCTCTATTCCCTCCCCCCACCTGTCCTCCTGGAAACCTGAAGTCCTCGTTCACGTAGTGGAATGTAAACGCCTCGTGCATCGTTCTTCCAGGAATAACAAGGAAGTGTCTGCCCGTGCCCCGTCCAGCACAGCGTTTCCCCCACTGCTTCCAGTCTGGGTGGGTGACTGTGGATCGGCCCCACGCCCACGGCGGGGGGAGGGGGTGGACTCTGTGGACTGAGCTCCGTGCTGCAGACTTAGTTGTCCACCAAAACCACCTTTTGCGTGGTTCTGAAGCCGTGGCTGGGCAGGTGGAGGGTCAACCAGAATGGAGCCCGCCCCTCCCAGCTTCCCTTGCAGCTGGGGTGGCCCAGTGACCACATCCTCACGTCCAGCCTAGAATCAGAAGCGTTGAGAATGAACTCCTGACCTGTGACAAAGCCGTGAGCTCCTGCGCACTGCTCCCACTCCCTGTGCGCCCAGACAACACAGGTGCACTTGCAGCCGGCTCAGGGTGGGTGGCCAGACCAACACCCAGGCAGGATGGGGGCGTAAATCTGGGGCTCAGACAGCTGCCTCACCCCCCAGATTCCTCAGCCCGGCACTGTATACCCGAGCGAGCACTCACCGCCCATCTGGACAAAAGCTGGGCAGTCTAGGGGCCTCTGCCACAGTAGCCACCCATTGCCCAGCTACTTGACGCCCCTGTCACCAGCTGGCTCGGCTGTGTGCCATTGCTGGAGCCACACAGCAACTTTGCAGCCGCGACTCAGTCGCTGTGCGCAGTGGACAACCTGCCTGACTCCCACGGGTGGCAGGTGGCAGAGTCCCAGCCCAGCCAGGTCTCAGCCACCGCGTGCACCCGTCGCCCCACTGGTGTAGCCAACAGACGTCGAGGGCCCGCTTGTGCTAGGCTCTGGTCGGACAGCTCCGGGGTGGATGATGTCCTTTCTCGGGGGCTTGAAGCTGGTGGGGCAGGAGTGGCTCCTGAGACTTGCACGTCCCTGTGCTGGTGATGACAGTGCCTGGCTCAGCGCCGCTTCCCTGGGCAGACTCCGGCCGGGCAGGGCCATTCTGCAGGTCGCTCGGGCTGCTAATGGAGCAGTTTCGCCAGCCCCTTGCTACTCAGGGTGTGGTCCTGGACCGGACCCGGTCTGCAGTGCACCAAGCTCCCCAGGCGACTTGTGTGCACAGGAACAGGTGAGAGGCACCTGCCTGGTGCATGGCTCCCAGCCTGGGCTGCACCTGAAAACCGCTCGGGGGCTTTGGAAACTGCAGACATAGGCTGGGCCCCCAGAGGGGATGCCTGACCTAGGTCTGAATCTAAGAGGGAGAATTTTCTGGAAGTCCTATAGCTGTTTCTAACGTGGAGCCAGGGTTGAGAAGCTGGCCATCAATAGTATATAGACACAGACACACACACACACGCATCTGTGACAGAGGCCAGCGGCCTGCGTGAAAAGCAACAAGTGGACAACTACAGTCTGCTTTGGATGAAAATGCTCTGAAGTGGAAAAGAAAAGAAATTATTATTATTTCCAGTGCCGGAGTCCACAGGAATCTTGATTTGTGATGTTCTTTGTGTTTGGTCCCTGGGGAAATGGAAATGAGCAAGCCTGTCCCAGCACTGGGCAGCTGCCTCTGCCAGCCATCTGGTCTACCGGGGTTGGGGGAGGGGGCGCAGTGGGGCTGGGGGGTGGACCCCGCAGGGTTTGCAGCCTAGGGTTCAACTCCCAGCTCTTCTGCATGCTGGGGAAACTGTTCTGTTGGGCCTCTCCCTCTTCTTCACTCACGCTCTACAAGTCTCTAAGCTGAGGGTGTGCACGCAGCCTGGGCACAACTTTTCCAGTCACGAGGCAAGGGCTCAGAGCGGACTCCTGCGGGGCCCCGGGGCTCTGCGTCTCCTGTGCCTCTGGGGCCGTTTGGACATTCAGGCCACGTGTGTCCCTCCTCCCTCCCACGCGGCTGCAGCCACCTGCCTGCACTGCGGCTGCACCAGCAGTCACAGCGAGCAGTTCCCAGCTCAGCCAGTATTTGAAGACGAAGGAGAGGAGAGGCGGAGCTGTGTTGTCTGCGCTTTGCAGGAGCGTGAGCAGCTCCTCCTGGTGTGCCCACACCATGCTGGGTTTGGGCACAGGAAGTCCCAGGCTCTGCGACCGCTCCCCAACCCCAGCACTGGCAGACGGGGACGTCTGGCTGCTCTAATCCCAGGCCTTGCCCCTGCTGGGAGTGGGCCGTACTCCAGTTCCTTCACACAATGGCAGAGGGCGGGAGCCAGTGCCAGGAGCCTCACAGACAGGATGGGAGCGAAGCAGCCAAGCCTGGTGTCCCTGCTGGGAAGCAGGAGCGGGCAAGGCCGTCCGCGGGGCACACGGCTGCTGCCTGGGGTGGGCAGGGATTCCTGGGGCAATGCTCCACACTCCCCGGGCACGGCTTGTTCCGGTGCACACAGCTAAGCGGCGAGCAGTTCAGTGCCTGTGAACTTGACCTGCCTGACCCTAAGCCGAGAGCATCAGTGAATGGGAAGCGATGGGAGGGGAAGGGGGAGGGGCATCAGAGGAGGCGGAGCAAGCGCAGCACAAGGCAGCCTTGCTGCAGATGGCGTGGGGACCTGGGGCTCCAGTGGTGCTGTTCACTTTGTAAACGTCTGACACTCTGCATAATTAAATGTTAAAAAATAAAACCACAAGGAGGTGCCTCTGACACGCACAGACAATGGCCACTGTTGGAGAGGGTGTGGAGAAATGAGCCTCAGACGGCGCCGTGGGAACCAGTCTGACCTTCCCTCGAAAGGTTACACACACGGGCTGCTGCTGTGGTGCAGGGGTGAAGCCGCTGCCTGTGACGCCAGCTTCCCTTATGGGTGCAGGTTCGAGTCCCGGCTGCTCCATTTCTGAGCCCGCTCCCTGTTAATGCATCTGGGAAAGCAGCAGAGATGGCCCAGGTGCTTGGGCCCTGCACCCACATGGGAGATCCAGGAGACGCCGCAGGTTCTGGACTTCAGATCAGCTCAGCTTTGGCTGTTGCAGCCATGTGGCGAGTGAACCAGTGGATGGAAGACCTCTGTCTCTCCCTCTCTCTGTAACTCTGCCTCTCAAATAAATAAATAGATCTTAAAAAAAAAAAAACAATGAAAACAGAGTGCTGAGGATGGAAACCAGACACAAAATGTCTTATCTCGTGTAAGTCAGTTTCTGTGAAACTCAGGCAAGCCTGCAGAGACAGAGGGTAGATCAGTGGTCGCCAGGCACCAGCGAGGCGGCAGGAAGGGACTCCCGGTGGATACAGGGTTTCCTGTAGGACTGATGACGTGCAACAGAGTAAGATAGCGGCGTTGGCTGCACAACTCCACACACACACACACACACACACGCTGAAAACCACTGACCTAAGCATTTCAGCAGGGTGAGTATCATGGTATCTGAATTCTCTCTCTCTCTCTCTCTTTAAGATTATTTATTTGAAAAGCAGAGTTATAGAGGCAGAGAGAGACACAGAGATCTTCCATCACTGGTTCACTCCCCAAATGGCTGCAATGGCCGGAGCTGGGCTGATCTGAAGCCAGGAGCCTGGAGCTTCTTCCGGGTCTCCCACGTGGGTGCAGGGGCCCAAGGACTTGGGCCATCTTCTACTACTTTCCCAGGCCACAGCAGAGAGCTGGATCGGAAGTGGGGCAGCTAGACTAGAACCGGCGACCATATGGGATGCCGGCACTGCAGGCGGCAGCTTTACCCACTATGCCACAGCACCCGTCCCTTCTTTCTTTCTTTGGCAGGCAGAGTGACAGAGAGAAAGCTCCCAACCCTTGGTAAACGAATGCTCTCCATGGCGGGTGCTGGGAATGCAATCCGGGTCTCCCACGTGGGTGGCAGGATCTCAATGACTAGAGCCGTGGGTGCTGTTCCCCAGGTCTGCGGCAGCTGGAGTCCGGAGCTGTAGCCAGATACGGAGCCCAGGCAGTCCGACATGGATGCGGGTCTTACCCAGCATCTGAGCCACTACGCCAAACACCAGGCTGTGAATTTGATCCGTGACTAGGAACGCGGGCTCCGTGTCTGAGACAGTGAGGCAGGCCTGGATGACGCGATGAGTGGGGATCCTGCCGCCTTGCCTGGACCCCTTTCCTCGGCACCCAGCAGAGCTGCTGTGCGGGGGCGTTGCCAGGGCACTCGGTGGGTGGGGCTTCCGGAGGGCACTGCCGAGGCCCTGGGTCCAGCTCCCTGACCTTGGAGCCCCCGTCTCTCCCAGCAACCTCTGCCAGCACCAGCCACTTCCCACCTCTGCCATCAGTCTCTGGTTCAGCGCTGCGGGTCCCAGGGCCCACTCAGCAGCTCCCTCCTCCTATGGTGAAGTCGCCATTGCGTGGCTGGCCCTGGCTCTCCCTGGCTGGCCCTGGCTCTCCCCGCCAGGCCAGGCGAGGTGCTGACTCACTGCTGTCCCCGGCTTCTCCCTTCCCCAGGGCCAGGCCTCCCAGTGACCTGGTCCTCCCTTGCTGCAGGGCCTCTGTCTTCCTCCATGCCCCGCCCAGGCCCTCACTCCTCCCCTCCTCTCTCTCCTACCGGCTGCCCCCTCTTCCCAACCCACCAGCTGCGGTTTAACCCACTCAGGGCACCGGGGCGTGGGCTCGCCTCTCGAGGGGGTCTCCCTTTCTTCTGCACGTGGGGAGGCTGCAGGTGCCCAGGGCAGGAGGACCGGGAGTCCCAGGCCCTCAGGTGCCTGCAGTGGGGCAGGGGCTGGGTCCGCGTCCTGCGCAGCAGCCCCGCAACAGGACCCCTCATCCCCTGGAGTGCCCTGGGCCGTTGTGCCATCAGCCGTGGGAGAGGGGCCAGCCCCGATGGTCGGACCAGCAGGGGGGGCAGACTGAGGTACCTGCAGACAGAAGACTAACACTCGGCCATGGAAAGGAGCGGAGCCCCTGCACACCTCACAGCGTGGCGACCTCGCAAACAAGGCTGAGTGACAGACGCCGCACAGGGACCAGAGACCCCAAACCTGTGAGTCGCCTCTCCTGGAGTGTGGAGAGCAGATAAACCCACAGACGGGGAGCAGCAGGGGTGGCCAGGGCCTGGGGGGAGAACAGGTGCAGCGGTTTAACAGGGCCGGGCTTTACCTGGGAGGGGTGAGAGCCACGTGGGAGCCAGGTGGAGGCAGCGGCGGCAGAGCTGCTCCCTTGCTCGCTGTGAGGCGGTACTCCCCTCCAAGATCTATTTATTTATTTGAAAGGCAGAGAGAGAGAGAGGAGAGACAGAGCGAGACCTTCCATAGGTTCACTCCCCAGATGGCTGCAACAGCCAGGGCTGGGCCAGAGCAAAGTCAGGAGCCAGGCGCTCCTTCCGGGCTCCCACGTGGGCTGCAGGTGTCCAAGGACTTGGGCCATCTTCTGCTGCTTTCCCAAGTGCATTAGCAGACAGCTGGGTAGCATGTGGAGCAGCTGGGACTTGAACCAGCATCCGTATGGGATGCCGGCACTGCAGGCGGCAGCCCCAAGGTGGTTAATTTCACGTGATGTGAATTCCACCTTGGTGTTCACGGTGGAGCAGAACGCAGGGTCCCGGAAGGCGAGGCGCTCGTCCGGAGTCACCTCAGCGCCAGGCAGGTGTCGCCGAGAGCAGCAGGTGCCACTCTGAGTCCTCAGCACGACCCCTTGCTCGGGGAAAGTGCTGGGCCCATCCCCATTTCACAGATGCAGAAACAGGGCGACAGGCTCCCCCCGCTCCCTGGGGTGGCACGGGCGGGACCAAGAACAGTCTGCGAAGTCTGGCTGCCTCAGCAGCACGGCGCACCACGGCCAGGAGGCGGCGTGAATCCGCGGGGAGCGGCGGTGTAGGCCATTGCCGGCCGGGTCTGACAGCCTGGCTGTGCCACTTAGGAGCTGTGGTGACACGGGGCGGGCGTTTGGTGCCGTGGTCAAGACGCTGATTGGGATGTCCACTTCCCACCCCAGAGTGCAGGGTTCGAGTCCCAGCTCTGCTCTCGGTTCCAGCTGCCTGGGAGGCAGCAGCCGACGGCTCCAGTGCTTGGACCCCTGCCACCCACGTCGGAGACCCAGGTGGAGTTCCTTGCTCCTGGCTTCAGCCGGCTGTTTCGGGCACTGGGGGCCTGAACCAGCAGGTGGAATGTGTCTGTCTCTCTACCTTTCAAGTAAATAAACAAACATCTATAAACCACATGGCTCAGCTTCCCGGCCTGTGGGCTGGGGGTGACGGCAGCGTCCACTCCCCAGTGCTGTTCTGAGGATGAACGTGCCCGCCCCGCCAGGGCTCTCAGTCCCCCAGGGACACCTGGGCCCTCCCTCCTCAGGTTCAGACCTCGTGCCCTAAATGCCAAGTTCACCAGCTGTGTTCTCCGGGTGCACTCTTGCTTGCCCTGCCCCCCTCCCCCCCAGCACGACCCCTCTTCCGTTCCTGACGGGCGCGTCCCCTGCTGGCCCCGGTAGGTCATCCCGGGCGCCAGCCATAGCTGGCTGGCGTTAGCAGCCGGCTCACTGAAGGGAGGCAGAGAGCAGCGGCTTGTTATGCAAATGAGAGACACAGGCTCCTGGCCTCCGCATTGAGCTCTAAACAGGAAAGCAGAGGCTGCCTGCTGCCTGGGCAGACTGTCCCCGGGCGGGCGGGGCGGCGAGCGCGAGGGAGCACAGAGGCACTGCGGCTGGCCCTGGGCACCGGGCCCTCCCGGAGGCGATGAGCTGCCTGACGCCTCCGCTCTGACTGGGCTGCCCCGATTGCCCAGCCTCTGCGACCCTGGGAGCGTCAGGCTTTGCAAAGACCTCGGCTCTGGCCACAGTCCAGACCTGGACCCCGCCATGGGAATCCCGAAGAGGCGACAGGCTCGGGCGAACCCCGGGGTCCACCCTGAGCCCAGGGCACCCCTTGAGTCGGGGGGTGTCCTCCTCTCGGCCCGCAGAGTCCCCGTGTCCACACTTCTGAACAAGCAGGCTCTGAAGTTGCACACTTCTGTGCTAAGGAAATGAAACCACGCCCACGGCGGGAGCCACGTCCCTTCCACGGGGAGACGTCCCTTCCACGGGGAGACGAGCCAGGCGGCTTCAAACACGCCCATCGCTTTGTTTCAGGACGCGCGTCTGCAGGTTGGACAGGACTTTCTCTGGTTTTGGGAGCAGTCGCCCAAAGCGTTTCTTGTCCTCACAGCAGAACAGAAGCGGCGACTCGGGGCCAGATCCTTTGGCCTGTTCTCAGCCCTGCCCCCTGGGGGAGGTGGAAACGCCCGCCTGTCTCGGCAGCCGGGCCCGCGCACGCCAGCCTCGCACAGTCTCCTTGGCACTTCCAGCCGGTTTCTAGAAAATGCGCTCCCTCTGCCCGCAGCAGCGCGTCTGCTTCCTGTCCCAGCGCCGCTCGGCCCGGGCGCACACACTGGACTCCGCAGTGATTCACGGAGGGCCAGCGACGTCCGTGCCGGCTGCTTCTGCACCCAGGTCCTCACTGCCCGGAGCCTCTTGGACCTCACGGCAGTGTCCTGCGGAACCTCGCCAAGGCCAGGGACCCCAGGTGGGAGGGGTTCCGAGCCATCTGCGTCTTGTTCGTTGGCTCTCTTTGCCTAGGCCCACGGCGGCTCCCACAGCAAGGACAATGGGAGCCATGGGGGAGTATAGAGCAGGAGAGGAGTAGTCGCTGAAATCCGGTCCTCTATTTGAGAGTCTTCAGTAATCCCCCAACCGTGCTAGGTTCTTATCAACTGCTCAAACCATCCTGGAGGAGGGGGGGTCTCCCACTGCACCCCAAAAAAAGGACGCAGGAGAGTGCAAGCAAAACCATTTGCTCATGTCTTAGGCAGGGTCGCTAAGGAGTTAACTCACCCCCGAGTTCCCGGCCAGGGGGACCGATGGGCGACAGCTCGGCGGGGACAGTGGGGGGAACTGGGGGCCGAGCGCCTCAGCCGTGACTGCTGTCTTTACTGCGTGACCCCGAGGAACCGCACCTCTGTGCTGTGCCCATTTCCATGGCTGGAACACCGCGGCATGGAGACGCAAGGCAGGAGTCGTGGTGCAGCGGGGTAAGCTGCTGCGTGGGACACGGGAGTGCCGGCCCGAGTCCAGCTGCTCCGCTTCCACCCCAGCTCCCTGCGCATGCACCTGGGAAGGCAGCAGAAGACGGCCCGAGCGCCTGGGCCCCTGCACCCTCTTGGGAGCCCTGGTGGGAGTTCTGGCTCCTGGCCTTCACCTTGTCCCAACCTGGTAGTTGTTTGGGGAGTGAACCCGAGGATGGAGGATGCCCGCCCTCTTTCTCTGTCACTCTGCCTTTCAAATAAATAAATAAATAAATAAACAAATCTTGGGGGGGGGGGAGCAGGGATTTTTGGCACAAAGTAGGTGCTCAGTGAACGCATGTCGAGTGTGTCCAGTGTGGGGTCCTTCGGGGCGGGGCTACCCGGTGTGGGGGAGGAGACTGAGGCATAGAGCAGGAGCCAAGAGACCTGTGGGGGGTGGGGTGGGGGAGGGGTCTTCCTACGAGAAAGGAAGCCGTGTCCAGGGCCCCGGCCACTCACCTTGTCCTCCTCGGCCCGGAGGTCGGGCATGGTGCTCACGCACAGGCTGACGGCCGTGGTGGCCACGAAGAGGACCGACAGACACGCAAAGACCTTGCCCGGCAGGCCGGACTGCGGGTTCTCCACCATCTCCCGCAGCCGGTTCATGCAGCGGCCCCAGCGGGAGGCGAGCACGGCTGGGCGGCCGGCCTCGGCCCGCTGCAGCGCCTCCTCCCGCCGCTGCTCCGCCCGCTCCTCCAGTCTCCGGAGCAGCCGGCGCAGGCAGCAGGGCTCCAGGCCGGCCTCCTCGATGCCCCAGTAGCTCAGCTCCTCGCGGAAGGACAGCGCGCACGTCTCCCGCAGCAGCACCAGCTTGCCGGCCGCCAGGAAGCTCACGATCACCGCGAAGGCGCTGGGGCTGCGGTCGAAGAAGAACTCCTGGTTGTCCTCGTCGTAGTCGTCACAGAGCTGCCTGATCTCGGCGTGGCTGCGGCACAGCTTGAGCCTGCTCAGGCGGCTCCGCGGGAACTCGTCCAGCGTGCTCCAGGGCAGCACGTACCGCCTGCCCCCAACGTTCACCAACATCTCCCTCTTGAGGTCCAGCGCCGGGGAGCGGTCCCAGGCCCCCACCTTGCGGACCCTGCGGTAGTAAAGGCCCTTGAGGGCGGGCGTCTCCGTGGGCCGGGGCAGCAGCGGGCTGCGGGGGTCCTCCTGATGGTGGCCTGGGTGCAGGCCCCTGTGGCCGGTCAGCAGGGGCATCGTGGACGAGCACGTGGCTGGGGAGCAGCAGGCTCACCTGGCAGACAGCAGGGGAGAGAGAACAAGAGAACGGAGGCGGGGTCAGCCTCAGGGCGGGCTCCTGGACGTCACGGTCACAGCCTGGCACCTGCTTCCCCGCCACAGCCTCTGTAGCACCCACGCCTTCACCTCGCATCTGACACACACACTCGGACGGGGCACCTACCACCTGCCTGGCACAGATTGGCAACTGAAACCCTTCCCCGGTGCCGCCTGTCCTGCTTTCTTGGAAGAGGCTCCCGGCGACGGGCAGCATGCGGGCCGGGACTCAAGTCTCATGACCCTGAGCTGTGCCACGTCCAGGCTGTGGGTTCCTGGGTGCGTGACCGCCCCACTTCACCCTCATCCATTCAGACCACAAGACCCGGGCCAGCCTTGCAAGGGGTCGCTTGGTAAAAATGGGCTCTCAAGTGCACCGGGAGGTGCCAGCCCTTTAGGACCTGCCCAACGAGGTGGCTCATGGGGGCTCTGCACCCTTGGCTCTGCCTTATGCCCGGGGCAGTGTGTGTGCCTGTGAGGAGTATGTGCGAAGTGTGGGTCCAGGGCACTCCTAGGCGCTTGGCTGTGCCAGGCTGGCCCACAGCAACTCATCCCATGGGGCGCACATCAGCAGCTCCGCTTGGCAAACCAGGAAGCCGAGGCACGGAGAACTTAAAGCGCCCCGCTGGTCCTTTTGCCAACACCTGGCGTGTAGAAAAGCTTGCTTCCAGGGCGCAGGGGTGTGGCTGGGCTGAGCGCAGCACAGCCCCCGGCTCCTGGGGCTGCTCCCACCCCTGCCTCGTCCCTGGGGTTCGTTTCCCCACTAGGAGGACTTCGCCGAGAGGATGACAGGACTGCTCCATGCTCACTGTCCTCCTGCCTCAGCCCCCCTTGCTGTGTGACCTTGAGCCACTGACGCTGCCTCTCTGGGCCTCGGTCTGGTTACCTGCACAATGCCGAGGGCTTCATTGCTGTCTCCCCTGCACACCTCTTTGGGGCACCTGACTTAGGATACGCGTTTTGGAACCAGCCCCTCCGTGTGTTTAAAAAAGTCATCTCCACACTTTGTCTCCTCCTCAGTTCCCTGCAGCCGTTCTTTGGCCGAGCCTCTCGGCCAGAGCTTTGTCCCGGGCGTCCACAGCTTTGTACCTGGACACGCGCTCCAGCCGGGAGACCAGCTGGGCAGCTGCCTGGGAATCCAAGTTCCCGGCAGCCTCGGAGCCGGCCAGAGTCCGGAGGACGCCGAGGAGCGAGGGGCACGGCCACCTCACCGCCCCGCGTTCTGCCGCCTGGCGTGCATGGCTCTGCCCACAGAGCCTGGCCCGAGGGAGGTGAGCCGCCGGCACGCAGGAGCCCCTCCCCAGTTTCAGGACCCAAGGTCACACAGCGTATCCGAGCCCAACGCAGGACCCTGTCACCCAGCCTGGGACTCTTCCCAGAATCCCCAAACCCAGTTCTGCCCTCTGCTGCTCCCCAGCCCCCAGCCGGCACAGCCAGCCTCTTCCAGAGCTCGGGAAAGCGGCTCCCTCTGGATGGCACCTTGGCCGGGACGCTCCCCAGCACTGACCCTTCCTGCAAACGCCGGCCCTGCAGCAGACAACTTCTCCCCTTGAACTTGAACTTGAACTTACCCTCTTATCTCTGGGAGACCGTCTCCAGCCGGTTCTCTGCCAGGCAAAGGGCACCCATGACTCGGTGTCCAGGGATGAGACCGGTTTGTGGCAGAGACGAAGGAGAATGAGGAAAAACAAATGAACCCGAATAGCAGCTTCCGGCTGAGTTAGTTTCCCGTCTGTCTCCCCTGGGTTCCTCCAGGAGCCAGAAGTTCACTCATTCTGCATCGCTCTCCCCAGCAGCTGCTGGGGGAGAGGGCCAGGGGGTGGGGAGGGTCTGGGGGTGCTGGCTGGAGGGAGCCCGGCCAGCTGCCCGGCTTCAGTGGCGGACGCCGCGCTCCACGTCCCACGGGGACAGCCAGCATGGTCCGGCAAGGCGGGGGCTGGGAGGGAGGAATGGGAAGGGCTTAGAAGTAATCTCTCCATCAGCCAGGCGCAGGCGGGAGCAGCAGCCGCTGCCGCTCTGCCAAGCGCCTGGAAGGCACGGAGCGCTGTCCTCCCTCCCCGCCAGGGAACGGCATCCGCGGGAGGGCAGAGGGCGGCTGGGGACGGGGACGCGCCGACACCTGTCCCAGGCGCTCGGACTGTGCTGCTGGCCGGGAGGCGCTCCGTTTGGGGCTGCAGGAGCAACTGTGCGGAGTCCGGCTCTGGCAGCCCCCCGAGCCCTGGGTGGGAACTGAGGAGCCTGGTTCCACAGCAGGAGTGGCGAGAGGGTGAGCTGGGAGGCACACAGCTGGGTCACCTTGGCAGGTGAGCCTAGGGCCTCCAAGCCTCAGCCTTCTCGGCCATGAACGAGACGGGGTCCGGCGAGGGTCAAACCAGAAGCATGGGAGTGAGCTCCTTCCAGGGGAGGGGGGGCGGCGACTGCATGTCACACAGAGGACGGCTTGGCCACGCGCTCCGGCTGCGCACCGCCTCTGCTGGGTGTCCCTGCTGAGTCACTTGACCTCTCTGGGCCTCCGTTTTCTCGCCGGTCAAACGAGGCCAGTCAGAGCACCAAGCTGCCTCCGACGGGCGCGCTCACCGAACACGGGCTGTTGGGGTTCTGAAGACGTCTTCATAACTTGCGGCCCCAGAGGGCTGGGTCAAGGTCACCTCGCTCGGCAAAGCCAAGTTCCGGTGCAGAGATGCAGGAGTGAGGGCCCCAGGGCTGGGGCGTCCCTGGCCACCTGCCAGGGCGCAGGGACTGCTGCCCCCCAGGGGGTGCTCCCTGGCCCCGGGTAAAGCAGAGACTGGATGCAGGGTGTCTCAGGAGGGCCCTGTGTGAGGAGGAGACCCCGAGCCTGCCTCCGCCGCCTCTGTCTCGGTGGCTGCCCCCAGGTCTCTTTTCTGTGGGCACCGTGAGTGTAACCCGCAGAGATGCTGTGGCCCCTGTGGCCCTGTCCCCACCCTCAGCCCACGCCAAGACACCCCCGGTATCTGCTGGGGACATGGACCACAGCCGCTGTTACAGGCCCCGGGGACACGGACCATGGCTGCTCTTACAGGCCCCGGGGACATGGACCACGGCTGCTCCTATAGGCCCCGGGGACACGGACCATGGCTGCTCCTACAGGCCCCGGGGACACAGACCACGGCTGCTCTTACAGGCCCCGGGGACACGGACCACGGCTGCTCCTACAGGCCCCGGGGACACGGACCACGGCCGCTCCTACAGGCTCCGGGGACATGGACCACGGCTGCTCCTGCAGGCCCCGGGGACATGGACCACAGCTGCTCTTACAGGCCCCGGGGACACGGACCACGGCTGCTCCTACAGGCCCCGGGGACACGGACCACGGCCGCTCTTACAGGCCCCGGGGACATGGACCATGGCTGCTCCTACAGGCCCCGGGGACACGGACCACGGCTGCTCCTACAGGCCCCGGGGACACGGACTCCAGAGTTCCTTCCCAGTTTCTGCTGTGCCCGCGTCACCTGGCCTCTCAGTTGTCCCTGGACCAGGGGACCCGGGTCCCACTGAAGAATTTACCTGCTGTGTGGCCCCGAACACGTTTCTTTTCTTTCTTTTTTGAATATTTATTTTATTTATTTGAGTGGCAGAGTTACAGAGAGGCAGAAGCAGAGAGAGAGGTCTTCTGTCCGCTGGTTCACTCCCCAGATGACCACAATGGCCAGAGCTGGGCTGATCTGAAGCCAGGAGCCAGGAGCTTTTTCTGGGCCTCCCACATGGGTGCAGGGGCCAGAGACTTGGGCCATCTTCTGCTGCTTTTCCAGGCCAGAGCAGAGAGCTGGATCGGAAGTGGAGCAGCTGGGACTCAGACCGGCATCCATATGGGATTCCGGCACTGCAGGTCAGGGCTTTACCCGCTACGCCACAGAGCCGGCCCCTGCACATTTCTTAACCTCTCTGTGCGTCGGCTGCACCCACTGGTGATGTCTGTGAAGAGTGGACAGGTTCACGTTTATGAGGCCTCAAAATCAGAGCGGCGTGAAGCCAGCCCCACGCACGTGCCTGCAGCCACCGTGCTTTTTGTATTAGGCTCAGTGGACATGGGTGCCTGCACTTAGCAAACGTTCTTAAGAGAAAGGCCCACCCGATCTGGTGCAAGACCCTCTTGGCATCCCCACGGGAGCTGGGAGCAGGGAAGGAGAGGCCCATCCACGGCTCCACTGGCTCGGCGTCCAGTGCCCGTTCCCCAGCTCCCCGCCTTTCATCACAGCTGTCAGTTTGCCCAGGCTGTGGGACCTCTGGCCCTCGGTCCATGCCCCCGGGCACTCACTGGGTCCCACAGGGCTTGGTACAGTCAGGGTGGCCTCCCCCGTGACCTTGTAGCCCAGTGTCCCTCCCCTGTGTGTGCCCTGGACCTCGGCTACCCAGGGGAAGGATGCTGGCCTCCGTGGCCACACGTGGCCGCGGCCCTCCTCGCTCTCTGCTGATAGATGGAGTGGGGCACAGTGACCACACGTGAGTCTCGGTGGCTGCCACAGCCACACAGATGCAGGGCCTTAAAATGACGCGAGCACGTCACCTCTCAGTCCTGAGGCCGCAGGCGGAGCAGGCCTTGGGGGATGCTCAGGGCAGACAGCTTCCTTGTCTGTCCCAGCGTCCGGGGCCGCTGCCCGCCCTGGCTCGGGCCCCCTCCCCTTCCTGTGGCAGTGCCCCACAGAGGAGAGGACATGGCTCCTCCCTCAGGGTGGAGAAGGAAGTGCAGGCGCCCTGTGGGGTGGAGCCCGTCCCGGACCACTGTCCATGGCCAAGACAATCAGGGCTGTGGAGGGCGCCCTGACCTGCAGGAGGAAGAGCGGCCTGGACACCCAGGCAGAGACGGGAGGCCCTGGCGGGAGAGGCTCACTGGGCCTGTGCTGGGGTCTCTATCTGGGCATTGTGGGCAGGCGGCAGGGCGTGGGTTCTGCCCTGGAGCCCTGGCCCCATTAGACCCATCTGGCCTCTGGCCTCCAGGCCTTGTCCGCAAGCCCAGACTTGGGGAGGGGCAGGGGTCCGGCCACGTCTCTGCAGCCGGCCTCTCATGCCTGCTTCGGGAAGTCGGGGTCCCTCCACCAGGGGGCGAGATCAGCCATCTGAGTGTCAGTCTGCCCCTCCATGCATGGCTGCTTGTGGGCTGTGTGACCCAGGCAAGCCCCACCCCACCCCCGCCCCCGCTCTCGGGGTGTCAGAGACGCTGGGGAGCAAATGAGCTAAGGCGTCATTTCAGTGCGCACAGTAGGTGGTGCGCACTGTAGGTGGTGCGCACAGCAGGTACTCAGCAGTGTTAGCCGTTACTGTTTGCTCCATCGCATCACCTCTGTTGATTATCACAGGAGCTCAGAGTCTCCCGATAGCACGTCCCCTGCGGCCAGTGCCAGAGGAGCCAGGTCCTGGGCGGTCATTGGCGGCACCTGGCCCTAGGGGCGGGGCAAGCTTCTGAAAGATGCCGTTGGCTGTCACCGCGGCCCACATACCTGCCGTGACCAATTCTGAGCTAACAGGATGACGTCACTGAGTGCAAAGCTGGGGAGAGGTGCTCAGGGCGGCTCCCCAGGAGGGTCGGTTCCCAAAGGCGGGACCGTGGCTAACCAACCACAGGTGGGGTGGGGGGAGGCAGGGAAAGAAGCAGACGCTGGTAGAGGGGTCAGTCGGCTGGGGATGGACAGGGACGCACGCGGTCTGAAGCAGGCGTGCCTGCAGGACGGCGGAGAGGCAGGT